CCCCCCCCCCCCCCCCCGACGACGAGAAAATCTGCACCGAATCGTTCAACAAATCCGTTCAAATCCTTAAAAAATGTCTTAAGGTTATTGTTCAAGGGACATGTATAGGATGAGGGCAAGAATTGCATTCATAAATGTATTCATCTCTGATATCAACATTCATATCTAATAACAGTTGGCAGGTGTGACAACTGGCTACATATGGAACAGTTTGTTTAGGTATGTACGTACCCCTTATCTAGCCTAGTTCATCGGCCATTTCGCATCCGCCTTACTATTTTAGGGTGGTATTTTGGCAAAGTTGGCAGGTTGAAGGATTATTCGGAGGAATAATAGAAATAATAGAAATAATGTGTGGACAAGCCATGCCATTGTTAAACTCCGCCATTTTGGAATTTGATCAATAACAAAATTAACATCACTTCAAAGAATATTCGTGCGGAAAGACTAAGAAAAACTGTTTTTAGACTTTCCCTTTCCTAACGATAAAATTGCCGTTACGTCTGTATCCTGAACTTTAACTTTCAGACGCACTTAATAAATGACATGGTTCATTGTTAGTTTAATTAAGACGTGTAGTATTCAGTAGCAGTATAATAATTATTTTGAGAGAGATTCTGATTTAACTTCTACTACCGCTACCACTACCACTCATACACGAATCGCGAAATTCGGGCAAAAGTCACAGTTGAAGACAAACATGTAGCTGTGACTGGATGATTTAAAATATGCGTATTTAAGTATTGAAATGTTCACTCATGCATTCATGATTACATATTACTACAATGCAACACGAATGCATGACTGAACATTTGAATACTTTATTAATACGCATGTTTGAAATCATCCACTTACAAACTACATGTTTTTCTTTGAATGCGGCTTTTGCCCGACTGAACGCCTCATGCATTTGAATGCGCAATCGAATTTTGCGATTCGTGTATTGGCTTAGTACGCATCAGAATGTTTAATCGGATATATCAAGCAATCACACGCATCTGATTAGTCAAAGGCATGGTTCCTTAATGATAGCGGAAGTGGAAGTCAAATTAATCTGAACCGTTTTATTTTTTTCGATTTCCGACGGTAAAAATAATAAATCCATGTCTCGTCCTAGATATTAATTTGTTATTATTATCATTACTATATATATATTATTGAAACACAGTCACACACATCTCGCAATTAATTATGATGTTAACTAAAAATTTAAAAATTTAAAAAAACATATTACAGTATTTACAAGTTACAACATAAACTATATATCGTATTCTTACTTCCTAATGAATATTTTTGGAATATTTATCACCTACCCATTTTGAGGCGGCAAGTTTTAAATTTGTTAATTAAACTATCAAATTAATTTCAAACTTAAATCATAAAAATAACTTACTCTGAAATTGAAATAAAATTCTCCTATCAAACATGCAAGCTATCTATTTTTCCTTGAATTGTTGTGCTCATGGTTATTTAATCACGAAAACTTCTCTGTCGGGGAATGACTACGGCGATCAATATCAGTTCCACATTTAATTTTTGGGAATGTGTTCAAGTTTTGGGGGTTGTTGGTACAGCATTATGTGGCTATTATAGTCACTTTACATCAAGTATTACGCTTACCTAATTACATACTTAACAATTGTGATACTACTTTTATCTTAACCGGTTAGAGGCAATATCAGCCAGGAGAACTCAGGATTTCGACAGAGCGTTGACCAACACTGTTCACATGCACGATTCACATGAGTGAGCAAAGAGAGAATGGAACCCACGATATTATAGTTGAAAGGCACTTGCTGTGACGACATTCGACGGAATAATCGGTAACGGTAGAAGAAGTGGATTTCCATGAGTTTGGTTCATCTTTTCCTCCTTCCAACAGGGCGTCTCTCAAGTTTATGGGCGAAACTTTCACGGCATATCGGACAGCGAGTTCTGGATGAAAACAGAGAAGAAAATATCACATTTAGGAATCCCAATCTAACTTGCTTCATTTTGGTGAAATTTATGAAAGATATGTCACGTCTTATCATCTTATGACGTAAGCAGCATCGTCCAAGAGTTTGCAATTGCAAATAACTATATGTCGTATGCAGATAGTGAAATTTGTTTTCACCATGAATGTCATAGTATCTTTATACGTGTTGAATGTCAATTTTTTTGAGAAAAATAATTGATGTTACTATGGGAACAATAACGTTTCAATGTAGGTGATATTTTGGCTTTAAAGTAAATTTACTCGAAAAATAATTCGGTGAGCCCCGATTATATGCTCATATATTTTACTGTATTTGTTTTTGTGTGTATATTTCTAGTGTATTCTCTTTTCATTTCTTTCCACTATGTATAACTAATCGTACGCAGGCCCTACGAATACTAATTGAGGAGCTCGTTTTACTTGATCGAGTGTACTATAAACTGGTTGCAAACTTGCCCCATTGCATTTATACTGCGAGCAGAGGTCTCTGAGAAGAAGGAGAAACTTTTGCTTCGTTGTATACATTGTACTGAACTTCACATACTATACTATTTTTCAAACATTGAAACATTATAAGACTATTATGCAATGAATGCTGAATAAACACGTACTTCAATCTAATTGAGTCTGGTTGTAAACAGCACTACTTTCTAATGTACATCCATTGATTGGAGCAATATGTCTTGTGATAATTATATATGCAAATATTTTGAACGATAAATGGACTTACATTCCGTTCCGAATCATCCGATTGGCGCATTCTTTGTGAACTTTGTGGGAACATGGAAGAATCTGGCAGCCCGTGAATGCGTCCTGTAGAAAGTCAAAACAAATTAAGTGTGTTGAAACTGCATTTCCCAAGGACACTTGAAGGGTCACTGGATTCAAACCAACCTCTCAGGTTAACATTTAACAAGACTTTCGAGTGAATAGGAACGAAAGACGTTTAAAAGTTCGAAGTTCTTGTAATATTTACATGTAGTTTGATCCTGTAATCTTTCAAGTATCCGATACCCTGGGGCATCATAATAATTATTATTAAACATTATGTCGCAAACAATTTGATATTCATGAAGTGTTAGATTATGCATTCACCTCCAAACAGATGCCACATTCATCATGAGCTGAATCAGGACGACATTTATGATTTCCACGAAGTTGAACATCAAGACAAATACCACATACATCACAATGAAACGAGCGATCCCCATGAATTCTAGAAAATAAACGTTTCTTAATTCTCAATCTCAATCAATCACTTTGATAAGATATAAATGTTCTCCAAAAGCAATTGTTACTTTCCCCTATTTCGCTATTCTTTTGATTAAAAAGGAAGGATGTTTAATTTAAAATCAAATTCTTACCTGCAAATGCCACATTTATCGCAATGATAGGGGTGATCATCATTTCCAGTAAGATGTTTGCACAGTCCACAGTAGAAATTGGCGAATTGAGTATCACATGAAACACAAAATTGACCATTTTCCCCAAACTAAAAAGAAAGAAAATGAAGAAAACTTATGAAATCGTCGTTTAAGAGCTGATATTAATATATTATTCTCCAACACTGAAATGACCATTTTTGCTGAACAAAAGAATGAAATCCAAAAATAATAGTTTGCATATTTTTTAGCAATAAAATTTACCGGATACCAGAAATTATTTTCCTAACCAAGACGAATTTAATCGTAGATACATTTCTTACCATCGTTCTCAGTTGAAGCAAGGAAAGAGTCCGTTAACTTTAAAATTATCGATGCTGACATTATATTTCTTTCTTTTTTTTTCAACCATTTTTCAATAAAAAGTTAAAAATTTATGCTATTTATTTAAAAAACTTAAGAGTATGGAATCTAAAAATATGAAACGTTTCAATATGGCGTAAAAACTGAAGAATTTTATACTGCATATATTTTTCGGATTTTTAAGTTATTATGTTTTCAAATAAATCTTAAGAAATTTTAGAAAAAGGTGTGGTGTGTTATGTCTGCATCTCAATTTAAATTCTACATTTTCCTTGATTCAATTAGTTCTTTGTTTAGAGCTGTACTGAAAGAATAAAAAAGATGTGCATACAACATTAGCATCTTTTACGTTACCTGTTGTTCTTTTCCGCATTCGACACACTTGACCATCGTTGTGTCACGTGATTTCAGTTTCTTCCGCCCACACGTGCTCTCGTTGTTATGGCAACGGTGACATGGCCAGTATTTATTGCAGCATTCAAATTTCACCAAGCACCTTCTTTTGTAATGATTGCATAGCCAATTGTCTTGTATATCGTCGTTCCTTGGACCATGAAAGTGGTCACCAGGATGGCGTTGAGAAGGACCATTGCATTTTGCAGGACGATTATGGGAACCATGAGATGACGGTTGCCTCGATTTTGGGCGTCTTTGAGATGAAGACTGTCCTGAGTTCGACATCTTCTTTCCGTTGATTATTCTTGTAGTAACTGGAGCATCATTTGTGCTTACCCTGTTCTCTCCACCTGGGTTTGATAAATGACATTTAATTAATATTTATTAATTTGTTTATTCTCTACTCATCTTGTTCCAAGAGTAAAGAAAAAGTGGGGTAAAAGTGGTAATATGAATTCATTAGAGTATGGGTCGGGGGTGGGATGGGGGGGGGTTGGCGGGGCCAGGGGTAGCTTCCCTTCCAGTAGAAATAAAGTTGGGCAAATTATAAACGTAAGTTGGGAAAAAGTTTGGGGAAATAGTTCTTTACAACAGGAAATATGTTAGACACTAGTGGAAGATGTATATTCTTGACGGTGGCACAGATTTCGGAAATAGCATAATATATCAGAAAAAAGTATTGATTTGAATTAATAAAAAAATTTAATTTAAATAATGGAATAATAAAATAGTTTGTTTACAAACCTCTTGTGTCATTAACTGTAGAACAGTCAGGAACATCTTCTGAATTTTCATGCGTTGAACATTTACTGCCACTTACAATAGAATTGCTTGTGCTGGCAACATTTGAGTGCGGAGCATGGCAATTCCTGACAATGGATACGCTATTGTTCTCGTCAGCTGTACTAGGTCGTTCAAATTCTTCAACATTGCCAACCCGGTTAACGGTGTTGGATCTTAGTGGAGATCTTGGAGTGTTATTATGTGGTAGAAGAACTCTAGGTGAGTGTACTCGATTTAAATTGGCCACTCGTTCGTGACCGTTTTTTATCGACTTATGCTGATTGATCAACTTTCTCAACTTATCGTAGTCACCATTATAAAATTCATCAATAAGGTACACTAGATCAAATCTTGTAACTGACTCGAAGAATACACGGAGCTGATCTAAATCCGACGCATTGATAGCACCTTTTTGGTCCAATTGTAAAATAACTTTAGCTGGACTTAAATTACTGTCAACTGAGAATTTTTCATTTGCCCATTCTTTAAGCTTGATAATATCACTGTACAGCAACCTATCAGATATCGTTAGTAATAATAGTCTGTAAATGTTGTAGACATGGGCACTAACTGAAGAAGAAGGTTCCTTTATGAGACCCAAGGGCTGTGCATCACTTCTTTCGTGTACCTCTGTAGGGAATGGCGGTGAGTCCGGTGAAACATCAATGCTTTCATTGTTTGGTCTTTCATTACTGCTTTCGTTCTGATTTTGAGCCTCAAAGCCTTTGCTTTGCTCATGGTCTTGACATGCAATTAACGCCACCAATTCTCTACTTGCGTCTACAGATTGCTCTCCTGATGAAGACGGCAAAGACAAAACAGGCAATGGTGTCTTTTCATCCTCGGACTGAACACTGTTGGGCTGAACGTTAGAATTTGCGGTTGACTTGAGACTAAAATGAGACGAACTATTATTACCTTCCATGTTAACAACTAATGATGCCGATGGCTTTGGAAAAAATAGTTTCTGAAATGTCTTGCTTTCTTTCCCTAAGTTCGTTTTAGAATCGCTTTCCACGGAAAGTCGTCCAAAGTCAAGCAGTGTGTCTTTGTAATCTTTTTCTAAATTTCCATACCTATCTTCCAACTGCTCTAGTTTGTTTTCTAGCAATATTTTTTCTTTTGATATATTTCTTTTCTCTATTGCAAATTCACATTTCATCTCATAAAATTTTTTTTCCTCTATCGCAAATTTACTTTTCATTTCTTTTATCATCTCATCCTTTTCCAGTAATTTCTGTTTTAATGCATCATTTTCTTCCGTTAACCTTCGATTGTTTTGCTCTGTCTCACAATTTAGCCCATCAGGACATCTTGCAAACTCTGTATCCACATTCAACGTGCGTGTAGCTTGATCACGAAGGTCGGGAGCATCGATCGTGGATGATAGTCTTACTGGGATTATGTTTATGAATATTATGTCTATGTCCATAACAATTAAATTGTAACACTTTATCCCAAAGTTAGCAGGAGCACAACCAACAGGATTGAACCAATACTCTAATATACATGCAGCTTTTATGCGTGTATAACTCCTTGAGAAATCAATTTGAAAATTGTGTAGTTTTATATCTTGAACTATCGAATAAACCAATACATTTCCTCCACCGCTAAAAGTCAGTATAACATAGCATTTTTGTCTAGCTGTTTCACAATTCACCAACAAATTAATATGGTCGGACGCTGGCTCGAAAGGAAGTAAATAGATTTCCATGGTGCAACAAATCTTAATTAAAAATAAAACACTGGTGAGTGGAGAGATTTGAATCGTTTACTCAGCAATGTGTCTGGGACTTAATTTACTGCACTCTTAAAGACAATTTTGTTATATATTCAATCTATCCAAAATGGTTTTTCAGCATAATATTAAACAAGGTTTTGTAGCTCAGTTAGTAGAGCGTCGATCTAGTAATTCGAAGGTCGCAGGTTCAAGACTCAGCCGCAGCAGACAACATCTTTCTGCTTGCGCTGGGTATCAGGAAATTATATAATACACACTCTAGAACATTTTCATCTTAACATATTACAGAGTGTACCATAACACAACTTAACATAACACTTGCAGAACTAGTATTGTTCGATGCTGAATTAATATAAACGAGTATGTTTATGACATTAGTATATATTTCATAATTTCCAGTCTTAAATCCATCTGACCGTGTAGCTCAGTTGGCAGAGCGTCGATCTAGTAATTCGAAGGTCGCGGGTTCAAGATCCAGCCGCGGCAGACAACATCTTTCTGCTTGCGCTGGGTATGGAAATTATATAATACACACTCTAGAGCATTTTCATCTCATTATATATATATATATATATATATATATATATATATATATATATATATATATATATATATATATATATATATATATATATATATATATATATATATATGTTAATTAACGATTCTGTGAGGCAGCTGTGTGAATATTGCAAAAAAAACTATAGCCTATATAGCTGAGCCTACAAAACTGATTAAAACGAAAAAACGACTGATTTCACTTCAAGATATTATCGATCAAATAGAATTTCCATCGAAATTGCAATATTTTAAATCTTTTTATTAAAACAATTATTATTTCAAGCCAATATAGTCGTAAGCCAAAAATGAACGTTTTCAGTGTAGGAAATTACACGGTTCTGGAAGTATTAAATTAATAAAAAAATGCACGGTATCTTAAATATTTCCCCTAACACAAGTGTGAATTTTCATTAATACTTCGAGAACAAATGTAATTTATGTTAATATTATACCTCAAATTCAAAGTTTTTGCCACGGGAGCATGAAATTACGTCATCGTATTTGACGTAGCGGAATACTATAAGGAATGATGAATTATTAAGTTTTTAAACTTCAAAAACGGCCGTTTATTAAATTTGAAAGCAAATTTTTAAAAAATGTTATCATCAATATTCCAAACGATCGATATGTGATTCGAAACAAAGTCTCAAATACTTGTGTTAATAAAAAAATAAAACATCATATTTACGAAGGCCGTATGTGGCAAGTTTCATATATTCTCATCCTGGGCGCGCAGAATTACTGCGGGCTAAGAACCGTGCCGATTAAACACGCATTAACGGGCAATTAATGTTTAACTGGCAGAGTTTTTAACAAAACAGAATCCACCTGACCGCGTAGCTCAGTTGGTAGAGCATTGGGCTAGTATTCCAAAGGTCGTAGGTTCGATTCCCACCGTGGCCAGGCGTATTTTTTAAGCTTGCCCGGTGTGGATTAGTGGATTTACACTCAGAGTAACATCACAAACATCATACTCCAATAAGTTGACTAAAACAAAACTAAAACGATAGTCGGAACCACAATCGTGCACTCCGGAAATGATATCTCTATCAGATTGATGCACTTGGCCCGTATATATATTCGAGGTGCAACATGGCGAACCGTATAAAATATTCCCAAGATTAGATTGGAGTCGAGCATCGCCCGAAACGTTGGGTACTGCTTACAAAATTAAGAAAAAATGCCTAAGATATTATAGGAACAGAATTAACGGTGTAATCAACCATCTATACGTTCTTATTATATATTAACATTAGGTTTGCTGCAGACTTACTTTTCTGAAAATAATGATTTCCTCTTTGCTGAGAGCTGGGGTGCCATAGACTTGGATACACCGGATAACAAACATTTTAACCAAACGAATAGGTGTCTCAAAAAAACTCTTTAAAGAAAAAATCAAAGTTGTTGCCTTTAAACTGATCAAATTTGCTGCCTTTCTAAAGATGGATGAAGTGTGTAGGAAAGCAGGATTTAACTTGACAGCTGAATGCATTGCTTTATATCGAGATCTATTTCCTTGATTTGCTGAATTACCTAATAAAGAAAAAGAAAACCGGTTAAAACACTCAGTCACAATTGTACAGGAGCAGGCTGTTCGAAAGTGGGTTAGCTAAATCCAAAGTTAACGCAAGTGTCCAAGCAATCTTCCCAACAGCCTGTTTAGAAACATGAAGATAGTTTTCGAAAATTCATGTCTGGATCAATAACAGTTTTATTTTCCAAAATCATGAAATAAACACATGTGCAAATGAACTAAAACGGCGGGTTCAATTTTAACCCAGGGTTAGCGCTAATCCAGCTTTGTACAACCCGCCCCAGTACAATAACTCAGAACCCAGGAGTTGGTTTGTCCTTTCTATGCTCAAGTAACAACATCAATCGATTCAATTCTCTAACGATGAATAGTTAATTTATTCTTCGTATTCTTCAGGAAAATTAGGTTTCTAAATTAATTGATTAAACTTTCTACCATTTATTGTTGTAGACCTTCTGAGCACGGAACCAAGATTTTAATTCGAAAGGAGCTCGAAAGACCAGTTTACTCTTTCAGAAAGTATGTCACTTTGGCGCCATTTTCATGATTGAGACATGTTTCAACTGATGTAATATAAACGGAAACGAAGCCCTATAGCCAAAGTGACATGCTTACCGGAAGGGTACATTGAGGCAAAACGCATGCATGCAGTGGACAAGTCAGTGTGATGTAGCTATATGCTGCATGTTATTCATTTCCCTATACACATTCTCATGGGTTATGCAAAGAGTGATATATGAAGATATAAAAGATACCAAAACAATGAAGATATAAAACGGCATTTTTTAGCCAACGCCTTCAGAGAACTAACAGTTCAATTGTTTTTGTAGTTGGAAAATTTCTAGAGGAAAAATATATACAATTTTACACCTAACCAGAAGCAGTTGTGCAAAATTCTACTTTTGGCCGGCTGTTCCCTCTTGCAGGAATCGAACCTGCGGTCCTGCGATTCCGGTTCAGCCAGTGGCGTAACGCTCATTGCGTGGGTAGGGTTAGTTAAAAAACTAAAGGTCCCCAACAGTTAGCGGCCACGGCCTATCGTCCAGAAAATTAGAAAATGACAGTAAAAAATGCTAAACTAATAAAGCCTCCATCGACAATGGTTGCTGACTTTTTTACTCCATCTCAAATAAAACAAAAGTTATTCTTATTAGTTATTACATGTGTTGGAGACTTTGTTATAGACCAAGCCCGTAGCTGGCTCTCAATTTCTGGGGGGGCACTCACTCCAGAAAGAATGTAACCAAACGTTTGAGATGAAAAAATTTTTTTCCCGGAATTTATCCGGTCAGTGTACCATTTTAGGGGTCAAAAAATTTTTCCGGACATAACAATTTTTCCGGACATACTCCATTTTTCCGAAATCTAAGAAAATTTTTCAAAAATCACAAAATTTTCCACAAAATTTACAGAATTTTTTCCATTAATACAATTGCTTCCCAGGCCCTTTATCTCAATTTTTCATACCCGATTTCCGAGTGGGGGGGCACTGTCCCACCCAGTGGGGGGGCACTGCCCCCCCAGGCCCCCCCAGCTACGGGCCTGTTATAGACACGGAATTTTACGAGCACAGCCAATGCCAACACCCTATATAACTGAGATTGCATGTCATGAATCACATGGAGACACAAAACGACTTTTTGTCGTACTACATATTTTAATCTTATATATTAAGCAGACCTATGGACTGCGCACTCAAATTTTTATATTCTTGTTTGTGCATAGCATTAACCGGCATTTTTTAGAAAAATAGTGTCAAAGATATTTAACAGTCATCACTATCTAGTTTAAACATTGCACATCCAACTCGGCAATATGTGTTTGTTTGGTATTTAATTCAATAAAAGCTCGATAATACTGATTTATTTTGGTGTTAGCTGTATAAAACAAATAATGAATGTTTTCAATTCGTTTAATTGTCTAATTGATCTTTCGTCAATTCTCATTCTCGTTTGATCTAAAGGCGGGGCGCGATCGTATCAGCATTGTTTGGGTCGTGTTTCCACATTTCGTATTCGTATTTCAACATAGTGTTGACATGATTTTTTCATACTATCTTTGGCACATTGATACGAAAGTGAAAATTATTACCGAATTATACGCTATTGTTATAAAAACTAACTAATACTGACTAAGCTATATATTTTACTGATACGATGATGATACGAAGTGGAAATATTCACAAGAATGACTGAGAAAGCTATATCACACAAAGACTGAGAAAGCTATATTTTGCTTATAGCTAGTATTCGTTAATATATTTTGCTAACTGCGTGTCATGGAATTATTTAAAATAATTGCGTAATTCCTTATTATGAAGAAACACTTAGTCATTACTCATTAGCCTGCTCGCAGCCCGTAATTTCGTTCAAACGAAAACTTAGCTAATATTCTGTTTCAAATTTTTGTGTGGGGGCTGCAAGCAGGCTACTGAGTCACACGATTATACCGGAAGTGAAAGAATTACGCATGTATTGTGATAGCCTACCTATTTTAAAACGATTGAGTAAGCTATATTGTTCACTGACACAGATGATATACGAAATACGTGGAAATGCTAGTATACATAATTGTTGCAAAAATGTGTTAATTTAAAAAGACTGGGTTTGAAATATCTGGTTTTATGAGGAATACAATATGTATTATAATAAAATCTGTTTTGCTGAAATCATATAAACTGCAGCACTTTATAGTAGAGCAAAGGCCGCTGAAATAAGGGGGAAAAGATCTTACAACTAGACAAATTTTAAAGTCAGTATAAACTATAAAGAGAAACAAAACCTCTCGCACGAGGGGGATTTGTGTTATGTTTGATTTTGTAGCAAAATATGGAGCAGCTTCACATATCGATTTTGTCGATTTTCATCAGACGACGGACTTACCTTGTATCTCCATATCACACTGAATTCCCTGTTTCGCTATCTTGCTTCTTTCTAGAATTTGCTTGCTGTAAAATGTCTATGGATCTTTACTTGAGCCATTTTATATACCTACCATGCATTGCGAGGGGTTTCCCCCCATGATGAGCTTACATTGTTTTAGGGCATTCCCCGCGTCATTTTAGCTGAAACCGCATTTCCGTTTGTCAATTTTTTGTTGTTGACCCAATATTTAGGACTTTACGCAGCACAAACAGCTACATCTGCGAAAATGAAAGATCTGTTGATGATTATTGTCATCAGTAACAGGAATTAAATAACGCTCTAAAATTAATGTCTCGATCACAGAAACGAGGCGCTATAACAGCGTTCATGAGGTTGTATATTAATCACTTATATCACATTTGTGTCGGTTTTCTTTGATCCTCCGAGGTTTATAACTAAGCTTATATACCTTGAATAAATGATTAGATGAAACTTGTAGACAAAACGCGAAAATGTTTCATTAAAAATTTTTGAAAATGACAAAATATGTTAGAAAACCTCCACAAATGTGATATAAGTTAGTTATAAACCTCGAAAGTCGGTTTATAACTGATATATTGCACTCGGACGCTACGCGTCCTCGGGGGCAATATATCAGTTATAAACCTCCTACTCGGTTTATAACTCTAACATCTTACAATGTCACGATGTGCTTCTCTCACCTATGTTGTATTCAAATCAGCAAATCAATTAAACTAAACAAGATTGTCTGTTTGCTATAATTAGTAAAATTGCAAACTTGCAAAAATATGTCGGTGTCATCACAGGCGTAGTTAATTATTAAAATGCCAACAAAATAAAAAGCAACTGTAAAGCATTAACATAACCTACGAGGTTATCTATTTACGAAGTTCAAAGTTGTAATTTCAAATTTTATTGCACACGCACTTCGTGGGCGGGCAATTTTATAATCACGTCAGTTCAACTAATCCCTTTAGTCATGGACTTCAGTTTGTTCAAACCAGAACAACTTCATCCAACATTGGATTAAAATTTTGAGTAAGAACCCCGATCCAACATATTCTAACATCTGCTATTTGTTGGCCAATACGTTTTACTACGTATATAATTTTGTGGTCAATATGCCAAAATAAATAATACGTCAAGGACCAATTGAGATAAACGAATGCTCCGAAACTACGTGCAGCATTTCAATATGAAATGTTAATTTAAGAAACCTTACAAGCTATGCCTATGTATATATTATTAATATTATTATGAGTGGCAGGAAATTGACCTTTATGTCCGCTTCATATGTACTCAGGGTCAACGACGGGTAATGGGAATTTCCCTTATAGGGGGTTTTCCCTAAATATTAATATTGCCTAATCATTATAGGCCACGTTTACATTGTACCGGATTCGCTGGTGACGACATCAGTTTTAACAGTCAATGAAATAGCCTAAACATATTAATGGTAGTAACAAACAGAAACGTATGGAAGTTATCGAAAGAGCGAATCCGGTATAGTGTAAACGGGGTCTAATATTACAAGGTTGAGTTATGTTAAAATTCGAGAAGTTGCTGAGTAATTATGTTATTTATACAAGGATCTTGCTATTAAATTAAAGTAATCTAGAATTCTCTTGATTTCCTTGCGCACCTAGTAATCTGTGTGGTTTATTAGCCGGTCTAGTCATGCTGACATACATGCTTCGCAATGACGCCCAGTTCAGTAGCGCCATGATTCAGCGCATGCATTCTTGTTTAGTTGCGTTGAACTATATATAACTGCGCAGCTACTATAAATTAGGAGCATTGAACTTTGGACAGTCAATGGGCCTTACGCAGGTTTCCGTCCAATTTCCAGGAATTCCAGTCACAATTCTGGATCAATAGGATAAATTCCTCCCGACTTACAGCACTTGAAAAATGAAAGTGCTGACGTCAACATTATTTTCGAACTTCTTCAGAAACTATGTTAAAAAACAATTTAGTTAAAAATCGTTTGTTGGTCAATAAAAAATGAGTTATGAAAAATAGGTAGGTATGTGTACATTTATCTGCAGTAAATGACTTCTTACCTGAAATATATAAACAAGAATCTAAACATTTTGCAAGCGCTTAATATCCAAAAATCAAATGCTAAAATAAAGGCGAGTTGGAGCCAAAACGTTTAAATTTTTGTTTATATAAGATACAAAGTCCCGACGTACCCTTAACCTAGAATTTTTAACTACATTTTGTGTATAACCAGAGGTGTATAACACAGTTTCTGAAGGAGATCAAAAATAATGCTGACGTCAGCACTTTTATTTTTCAAGATGCTGTAACTATAAGGAGGAACTAATGCTATTGATTCAAAATTTTTGGTCAACACTAATGATATAAACAACATAAAACGTCCAGTATTGTAACATAAATTCCTGAAAATTGGATGGAAACCTGCATAAGGCCGGCCCATGCATTGCTGAAACCAAATTGCTTGCCGATCCCATTCTATTCATCGTACTTGTTTAATTAACTCATTAGTCTCGGTTAACATTAGTGTCACCCTTTCCCATTTTTTATTGTATTTATTTGTGCTATTTGGCGATTGTGGATTATTAAAATTGTAGTGCACTACTCGATCGTCCTTACCGTGCCACGCATGCAACTCTAACTTTAATTAACCAGCGCATGTCAGCATGCATGTGCAACTATTATGTCTTCGAGTCAATATGCGTCCTGGACCTTTCGTCAATTATGTCAAGGCCCACCTACAGGAATTATCCCGTGCTAATTTATTGCTTTGTGGCAGTTTGGGCCAATTTAATAATTTGCTTTTTTTTGTTTAACTTTCGCCTAAAGGAAATTTCCCTAGGGATTTCCCCTAAAGTCACGCTGACATGCATGATTGAATGCTTCGCAATGACGCCCACTTACTGTAGCATTATTCAGCGCATTCTTGTTTTCGTGGCTTTCTCGTGCATCCTGAAGCCTTATTTGTTCTAGTTGCGTTTGACTTAATTAATTTTAACTATATATTATTAAACTGCGCATGTTACTGTAAATTACGAGCGAGCATTGAACCTGGACAGTCAGTTGCTGAGACCAAGTAAGCTTACTAGCAGTTCAATTGTTAACTCTTTTTCCCATTTTTATTGCATTCATAGTATTTGTGCTATTTGGTGATTGTAGATTATTATATGCAGCTCTAACTTTTACTTTATACCAGCTGAGCACATGAATGGGCAATGTTTGCGAGTCAATCATGCGTCTCCCATTGGCTTGGTCAAGTCAAATATGTCAAGGCCCAGAAGCTGCAATCATTCCGTGCTGATTTATTAATTTTGTGGCAATTTTAACAATGATTTGCTTTTCTTGTTTAACTTTTGTTTTCTATATACTTTCAAAGAGAATTTTCTTTTCTTAAATTAAGGAATTTCCTCTTCAATCATGAATCAAAGCATGTAAATCAATTTTGGAAAACTTACAGGGAAAGATATTTAAATCCCTTAATGTTACACGCGATGGTTTTATACTGCATATATGTATATGCTTTCTTAGCAAAGAGATTTTGCAACATATATTGATAAAATAATCTTATGCAGGTTATCTGGCAATTGGGACATATTTAGTCCTGTATATTAAATCAAACCCTGCCAGTCTCAGTCTTGTATCAGTCATTGTAATGTTTTTGGGTAGTGACGTAACTAGCGATATATGGTTGGGGGAGGTTAAAAATACTTTAAAAATACTTTGTCGACCTCAATTTTTCCTTCTTTGGTGGGGGGCGGGGGGTTGTTTGTGTACATGGTATGTCATATATTAATTGGAAATTTATTTTTATCTATTTGATCCAAAAATTACTTAAATACAAATCTAAAGATTTGCAAAAGTTGTTCGTCTTACGCGGCTTTCGTTGTTTCGCCCCTCTTGAGTAGGGCTTTTCAAATATCTAGATATGGTTGGCATCTCACCAGCTCGATTGAACAATGCTAGTTGAAGGGTTTGAAGATGAAAATTATCGAGTGTAAATTTTGTATACATGCATGTACATTTATTAGATTCCTGTAGGTCAGTTGGTTGCACCGCCGGAATCGCATGCATGACCACAGCGGTTCTGTCCCTGCCAGAATTGCAGCTGCTCCTGGTTAGGTCTAATAAATGTATTTAATATTTAAACTCGATGATTTCCATCTACAAAACCCTTCAACTCTTCTTCAGATATTCAGTCGGATTGGGCAACTGCATGATACAATTTATTGAAACTGAAAGGACCTTGTAAATAATACTATTAATACCGCGACAAACGTAGTATAGGAAGTAGCGGTTCTAGACCACTTTTTCAGCCCGCGATCTCATCCCACTTCCGGTCAGCGGTTTCCATATTTTCCCCCAAAAACGCGGGCTCAAGTTTCTAGACCATTTATTTATTGTGGTTTTTTAACGTGTATTTATTATTTAATTTTTAACCATTATTTTTAAATCTTATTTAATAGTTTATTTATTATTTAGTTTTTAATTCCATGGTGACCGTAAGCGTAACTTGTAACTCCGTCTCCGAGTAAATACCTTTTATCATCGAAACAGCTAAGAGTAACTTTCTTCAATTCGTAAGTTCCGATTTTATGCTTGACGCTTCTGATTGTGTTCATCTTATGTCTCATCCGACCTTTCATATTTATTACGTTCTTAAAGTTTTCATGAGTGAGCTTGTTTCTGATCACATACTTTTTCACTCCTTTCGCGGTCATTCCACCTCCACCACTCTCCTTCACATATGAGTACATCTTTGACCTTAACCCAACAAACTCGATTACGGGTACACCTTCGGCCTCGTCCTTGAACTTACCGATAACCTTCTTATTATGAGCTGAGTAGTACGGAGAATCTTTTGGGTAATCTGAGTTATCCCAGCAGTCTTTCTCCTTACCGATCCTCCTGAAGTCCTCGTAGACGTCATCCGTCTTTATTTCATACATCAAGCTGTCAGTATCTGTGAACAGTAGCTTTGACCTGTCACCGTACTCCTTCTTAATTGTGTTGTAGTGGAAATCATACATTAGAGTCTTTGATAAGTCTAAGATGCTCATTCCAACGTAGCACGGTTTATTAAGAGTTAGAACTTCCTTCATCCGTTTTACAACTATTAAGTTCTCATTCATAATTCTATGTGACTGGAAGCACGGCGATGCCGTAAGTTTTAGGAGGTCGTTTTCCGATGACACTAATTTTACATCAACTCTTTTCCTAAGATTTTCCATTGTCTTTCCGTAGATTGAGTTATTCATTAACTTGAAGAAGTTCTTTTCAAACACATTACGTGCTACTGACCGTTTCTTTGTATTGAAGTCAATATAGTTCTTAAGCCAAGGGGACTGTTTGAACGAGACCGCTCTATGAACCTTTGTGAGTTTCATTCCAAGGTCTGTGTAGAGTTTTAGATTACGTGCATGTAAGACGTAGTTCTTCCTTGGTCCAAGAGAGTTCACCAGTTTTCTTACTCCTCCAATTGTCAGCTGGAATTTATCAGCAATACTTTTTGCGTAATCTGACAACATTGAAGCACTAATCTCTTTACTCTCTGGAGCTAGCGGATAACCGTTATGGAGATTGTGAAGTTCTTGTGGATATTCCATGTCAACCTCTAGAACCATACCCCTTCCGTTGTCTCCAAGGTAGTCATCAAGGTTCATACCATCAAATTCCTCAACCCACTCAAACTCTCCATTAGGCAGTGGTTGTGACATTGCCCAGCCATATAAATTGTTGGCGTCGAGGTACATAAGGTACTTGTTTTCAAGCTCTTCATTATACGTTTCCATATGCTTATTATTAGCTGTAGCTTGTCTGTGAGCAATGTGACTTATCCCACCTCTCATTCCCTTCTCAAAGAACTGGAACATATCCATATCACTTACAAGTTCTATTTCTTCACCTGACTGTTTTAGGAATGCATTCCAACTTAGACTGGGTGCTGATATGTAATGTGCAGGGTCAAGTTTATAAATTTCCAAGCAGGTTCTCCTGAAGTTTTCAAAAACATCCGCCAGTAGAAGAACGTCGGTTTCTAGGTAGAGATCGTGGTAGTTTCTCATAGTTTTCATTCCAAAGTGATCCCATACTTTCTGAGCTCTTTGGTAATCTTCTTCCTTCACCTCTGACTCGTATAGTGTTGAGTAGAATTTATCTTTACTTGGAAGACCCTCAACATTAAGTTTACTAATGTCATCTAGGAATTCATATGGAAAGACTCCTTTCTGTGTAACTAAGTTGAAGTCCTCACCCTTCCACCTCTTACCTACTATCTTGAAGTCCTCAGGTGAAAGGTTACTCACGAGTGCTTCCAGTGAAGAAGCCATAAACTGTATAGAGTCTATGAAGACAAGGTTTTTACCTAGTGAGAATGAAATGTATTTTTCCATGTTATTTGGAACTACGTTAATGTTCATCTTAAATTTACCAATCTCTTGCATAATTAGATGGCTATCGTAACCTCTTAGATTGTGGAAGACCACAGGAACTTTCCATGTAATTCTATATTTTAGGTTGCACATATTATGAGCAGCTCCACGAAACATTCCTGTTACGTGATCGTGGTCTCTCACTCTATCATCTCCAAGATCATTACCACATATTGAGCAGTTTCTAGTCATCCAGAACTCAGCTTCCTGTTCAGGTGTAATTACCATCTTTTTCTTGAATATCTTATTAACCATTTCTCTACACTTAATAGACTCCTTCAGTACAGTCTTTAGGAAGACCTGTGTGGCGTCTTCACCAACGTAGCTTATATATTCACCAGAGTACTTATCATCGTAATGGCAGACTGTTTTTAACCCAAAACTACAAGCTTTGTGTGTCTGGTAAAGGTCTGTACTACTTTTGTCCTCAGAGTTTTCAGAATCAACTTTTTTCTCTTCTGGAACCAGTATAGACTCAAAGTCAGCGTATATCACGAATGGTGCAGGTATTGAGTTTCTGTGGTTTTTGAACTTTATTTTTGTACCCTCCTTGGGAAGCTTTGTGGCCTGAGTTCCATTTACCTCGATACATGTCTCCCTATGTTTTTCTAGTAGCTCTTCACTCTTACAACTATGAAGACAGTGTAGGCAAAAGTGCTTCTTATGTTCGTATCCACTTACACTATACAGCATTCTATTAATGTCTTTTATTAGGACATAGTGGTTGTTTCCATTACCATCACCTAGAAGCAGCAGCTCCATATGCTCGTCATATTTTGTCTTGGAGTTTCTTATGGGATAAAACTGCTTTTTACCCTTATAGCCAAACACTGATATGCTCATACTGTTTTTCCTCTCGATTTTATCAATATCGCTTATCTTCACAGGGAAGTCTATTCCCTCATAATCTAGGTTTTCTGCGAACTCCACATCCTGTCGTGTAATGGTGGTTGCTCTTCTAGCTTTGGGTCTTACATGTCTCACATGACTCCACATAAAACATTTGTTGTCATTGTTTTTCATGTTGATGATACCACATTTTGGATTAATGATGTCTGCAGGTAATTTCATATATGAACTACTCTTTAGAGGTTTGTACATTGCAATGTTGAGATAATGGCTTTCAATATTCAGAATAATCCAATTTGAACCTAAGTTCTGGAAGGTTTCAATTCTAGCTAGGATTGTCAGTTGATTTTGAGCAGCTGTACTTTCAATATCCTCGAAGTTAGTCGCGGTTCCAGTTTTAGACTTAAAGTATATTGAATCCTTCTTTGTCTTATCATTACCGATCTCCTTTGACATTCTCACCTTAATTGTTTCGGTATATTTCAACCCTCCCATTCTCTTCAGCTCGTTAACTAGAATTCCTCTCACTACCTGCCTACTTGCTGTCATCTGGTCTAGGGGATCCATAAAATGTGGAGTAATTGAATAAGTCACAGCTGCTCCATTTGCGGCTGTTTCAATTTTCCTATGAGATGGCTTTTCGAGATATGTTCCAAATGGATCTATTTCGTGTTCCTTCGGTGTAACCACTACAGGCTGTTCATTAACTTCCTTCGACACTTTTACAGGCTTTCGTAACTTTGGAGGAGCCACTGGTTTCCTGGTTCTAGGTTTAGGAACTGGTCTTTCCCTAGGAAATATAGTTCTAGGTTTCGGAATTGGCCTTTCCCTAGGAAGTACGGTTCTAGGTTTAGGAATTGGTCTTTCCCTAGGTTTAGGTGTAGGTTTCCAGGGAGCTACACCCTTTGGTACTTCAGGAGCTTTCCTTGTAGGTTTCTTGTTAAGATCCACGTGAATTGTAAACTTACCTAGACCTGTTGGAGTTATAACACTATTTGCAGGAACTGAAAGTTTAATCCTATTTTGACTTATGAATCTTTCAGCAACAGTTTGTCTTTTAACCTTAGGCTTTAGTGTTTCAGCTACCTTAGACTTTGGTGGCCTACCTTTCCTTTTGGGAACCTTAACTTCAGCGTCAGACTTGGGCTTTGGTGGTCTTCCACGCTTTTTTGGAATCACAACTTCAGCATCAACCTTAGGCTTTACTGGTCTACCTCTGGGAACCTTAACTTCAGTATTAGACTTAGGCTTTGGTGGCCTTCCTCTAGGACGCTTGGGGTTCCTCTCATTTTCAAGCCTCTTAATTTCAGCATTCACCTGTGGATCATCAGTTCGCCATCTACCTCCCATTGTTGGTGGTAAACCTTCAACTCCCCTACTTAGTAGACTTTGGTATGCCTCCTCGACAAGTAAGGCCTTAGCCTTTTGTCTCTCAGAATACTTCCATGTCGGCATAATTCCTCTTCTACCTTTATAGTTAAGTGGAAGTCGTCGTGGCTTCTTAGGATCCGTAGAACGGTCAGCTTCATCTATGAATTGTCTTTGTCCTTCAAAGGGATCTTTGCCCTTATCCTTAGGTGCAACTCGATAAAACTTATCCGCAAATATTTCCTCAACTTTATCATCAATGTCACTACTATCGCTATCATCAATGATCTCACTGAGGGCCATAAGTTGTTCTACAGTTAAATCGTTCATGTCAAAGTTTGTCGCCATTTTTTCACTCTTTCTCTATATACTATATGTAAAAAAAATAGGCCTATTTAAAGGCCTATTTAATTTAATAATTAATTTAACATTTAATTTTATTTAATATTTAATTTTATGGTTTTATTTAATTTAACATTTAGTTTAATTTAATATTTTTATTTAATTTTATATTTTTATTTAATAATTTTATATTTTTGTTTAATTTAATAATTTTATTTTACACTTTTATTTAATTTCCAGTTATTGTAATATTTACAATTTATAGGTTTCCATCCCAACTCGGGGAAGACTTTACTATATAACCTATTCTCAAGGATGTCCACAATTCTTTTGGTCTTAATGTCCTCAGGAGGGTTCCTCAGTGTGATGTTGTTCATACTGGCTATCCTCAGTAGATAGAACTTATATCTAACTATGTTGCGCCCCCTTTGTAGTCTAAGTCTTTGTATACATCTTACGATGCTTCTAAACTGCTCCCTTATGGTATCCCTATCCCCTGAAGCAACATGCTCGAATAAGTGTCTCTCAAACCAACGGACTCTATTATGACAAGACTTCTTTTTCAGGTAGTCGTCCTTGTTGTGGTTGTAACTAACATAGTATGTAAAGCCATTCCTATCACTTGTACCGCATTGTGTGCATACATCCGCTCCATCTATTATTACAATAGACTTACTACCACATTCACTACATACTGGATCATATGTATGTTTCGTTTTTATTCTACTCTCCACGTACTTTCTCACGGTAGCCTCTAACTCTTCCAGTGTATTTGCCTTCCTACCTACCCGTGCCATTTCATCAGGTGTTACCATCTATAACCATTCCATTCCTCTATACTATATATGTAAAAAATTTTTACCATATTATTTACAGTATTATATTATTAGGTAAGCCACCCCTCCAACCACCCCACCTGTAATTAAACCGAATATTGCCATATATTCTGCCATCTCTGAGCTAGGTTTGTAGTGATTACTCAATTGCGGCCTTCTTGGCATAGCCTTACGTGTTAACTCATTGATTCTTCTAACAAGCTCCAGTGACTGATTTGTTGAATTAATATCCTTATTTGCTTCAGCTAGTTCTGACTTTAGTTGAGCAATTCTGTTTCTCCTATCAGTGACTTCTTCAAGGTACTTCTCTCTTTCAGCTGTTAGGTTCTCCATTGCAAGGTTATGTCTATGAGCTTCCTCAGCGTATCCATTCTTGTCAAACATTTTAAATAAGAATCCTGCTCCAGCAAATGCAAATGCATTAAAGAGTCCTCCTGCTACTGCTCCCGCCATTATATAGTCTTACCTAGGTTTTGAATGGGTCATCTGGTAGATACTTCTTTTCTTTCAAGTAAGAGACCAATAGGGATGAAAGACTAACTGAAACAGCTAACTTCGCCATTCCTTTTACATTTTCTGGGGTGCCTAATGGTTCTTTTAATAGTTTTTTCGATGCCATTGATATACGAACTGCTCCTGCTGTAAGTAACACTGCGTTGTACACTTCCGCGGTCATCTTTGATTCTTTACTCATCTTGTTATAATATATAGTATGTTTAATGTATCATTCAAGTGAATCTAACTTGGACGCATCAGCTTTCCTGGTTACTTCTACAGTTTTAGGAATGAACTCAGGTTCTAGTTCCTTAGTTTCCCTCTGATGTGTTTTATATGCTAGCATAAGAGATATCAATGCGATGGCCACTCCTATGTAGGTAATCATGCTGTTGTTACTAGGTGACTCCCTAGGTTCGGCCAGTTTCTTTTTCCTCTCCTTTGCTATTTTACTGATTGCGGCTAATCGTTTTCCTGCAGCTACTCTTTTTGGGTCTTTCTTCTTTTCACTTGTTACTACTTGAGTTTGCTCAGGTTTATCTTCCATTCTACTTGTAAGATACCTTAGGTTTAACTGGGTTTTATCTTGTGAGACATCTAGAGTCTACTTGTGAGATAACTCAAATTTACTTGTAAGATGTCTCAAATCTACTTGTAAGATAACTTAAATCTACTGGTGAGATAACTGGTGAGATAACTTAAGTCTACTGGTGAGATAACTTAAATCTACTGGTGAGATGACCTGACTAGCAGTAACTACGTTACTGGACGCTGCTAGCGCAGCTAGTACTTACCTGAACTGAACCTAGGTTTGTACAACCTTACAGCGCACTGTGTGTTGTTCACTGTGACCTTCTTTGCGACCTTCTTAAGTGAAAAGTATTCGTTGATTCTAATGCAAGTTTTTACAAGGTCATCTGACACCATCACCATGTAACCTATCTTCATAAGCTTGTGGAACCATAACACTTGCTTTTCACTTGCGACTCCAGTGCCTTTTGGAGACTTGAATTCGATGGCAAATCCTTTATACTTCCCCATAGGATTCTCTATAATAATATCTGGCTGACCACCTTTGTATCCCTTCTTCCAGGCATCACATCTCTTAGATGATGTGTCCTGATACTCACCTAGACCGGGTATTATCACAGCCTCTGGGTAGTTGTCCCTGATGTAACTCACGACTGTGTGGTGGAGGTCTGTTTCATTTAATAGGATCATTTGGTTGTATCTAAGTGACCTTCTATCCGGTAAACTGTATGTGCCAGTTTTTCGTATAGATGGGAGGACCTCCCTGAATACCCAGTCCTGGAAGTCCTCCGCTATTGGGAGTCTTGAGTTGAATATTAATTGGTATACTCCTGGTTCTTTTAGGAGGACCGTATGTGGGTGGCAATTTCTAAGGGTACCCAAAACGGGTACCCTTTGTTCACCCGAGATATTTCCCAATAATACCTTATTTAATCCCCATACATGATTCCTAATAGCCTTCCGTGGGTTTGAGTACCCCAGAGATTCCGCCACATCTTTTGCGTAGAATAATACCTTCCCCTCGCTTTCAACAGTTCTCACACTAACGTTAAGATCTCGGTTCCTGAAGAGTTTTTCCATCTTTCTCTATATTATATATGTAAAAACTTTTGGACCTATTTTATTAAGTATTTAATTTCGATTTATTGATAGGCATTCCCCCTTCACACCCAACCTATCACCAAGTGTGTCCTATGGTAAATAAAATACTACGACTCATGGAGTTCCTTGTATATCTTTACAACTGTTTTGATAGTGTCATCTTTGAAGGTATAGAAGCCGTACTGGAGTGGCCCAAAAACCTTTTCCTTAAACGCGTGTATATCCTTCTCCAATGCATTAATGGTATCCTGTATCTTCTTAAGACCCTTTTCATTAGCCTCAGCTCTCTCAATCTGTTCATTAATTATGTCTTCAAACTCTGTTCCTTCCCAAGCGTTATCCCATTCGTATCCTGACATTCTTCTGTATTTAATAAGATATGTTTAGCTTCCTCAGATATTTCCTCAGGTTCCTCCTTCTTGTTCAACTTATGCGCAACAACATGCTTGGCTGTTGTACAACCACCTGATATTAAACCTATGAATGGAATGTTGGGGGATATCATTCTTGTTAGATAACATACGTCATCCTTTAAAAGTTTATCGCTAAGTAGTTCCTCTGACAACTTCTCTGAAGATGCTACTGCACCGAAACTCCCTAGTATAGAAGCAAACTTTGAAATTATAAGTGTTGATAAGAAGTCACTTGCACATGACATCCTTTGACTTTCATACTCGTGGTATAGTCTATCCACAACATCCTTGTTGGACTTTCTTATAAAACTTGCGGACTTCTCTATTACACCATCCCTCGATAGCTCTATAAGCTTGTCTCTTTTACTTTCAGTTTGCGACTTATCTGCGGTAGACTTAGTTTTTCTTGCTTTCTTTTGCGGCACCTTTGCGGCCTCTTCTACTTCCCTCACAGCTGCAGATATTTCTTCACCAGATTCAGATCCCATCTTTTATATCCTACGTGATGTTTTGTTTGATAGTGTATGTGTAAGGGTGAATAAGTAGTATATCTAGTGCGGTGAACTTCCTATCTTTTAGTATTTTCGTAATCTCCGCAATTGTCTCCTGAGGGACACCACTTAGGTAATCATCTGTTATGACCTTCATATCCCTACGACTAGGGTTGTAAAATGTAACTAACCTGGAAATGTTCTCCCTGAATGGCTTTGCTACTGATGACAGTTGTTGGGTAATTACAATGACAGATATATTGTAATGTCTTGCGGAGAATGCTAGGCGCACCAGTTCTGAGACTCTTTTCTTAACATCTTGACTTGCTGCACAATCGTCCACGATGATGAGAGTCTGGGTTCCACGAAATATGGTGGACACTGCCTTCAGAACTAGATTGATCATTTCTTGTGAACATGGAATTTGTATGACTCCATGATCACTAATATGAGCCCAATTAATGTAAATCATATTCCATTCTATTGTTGGACATATAATCACAATGTAATCGAAAACTTTATTGTATTCTATTTCTAGCATGTTAAGTAAGAACTGAGTTTTACCACTTCCTGTCATTCCTACTATGAGCATGTTGAATGGTGGTTCAAGTTGCATCTCTATGCTTTACCGTTGGTGCAAGCTAATATTGAATACTTGATAGATCTCTATTCGCAAAGTTAAGGAGGGCATCCGATACAACAAAAATGTTGCACTGAACGTCAGCTGTTGTGGCTTGCTTCTTGATTTCCATAAGTACTCCAGACTGCGTGTTGACAATCTTCCTTCCTCCTCCAGTGGTATCATCCTGAGTCGTTCTAAGATCGATTACTAGAGCAAAACCACTACTAAAGAACCTGCTGATAGACATAAATTCATCTGCCATTGATTTCTCACACATAGGACAAAAGAAACTTTTAGCTTCCTCAAAGAATCTATTTTTAGGAAGCCCCTGTGAAAAAACTGCATTGGGCACACCTTCAATGGTTAGGTTCACTTTATCAATGTTTGGGTAAATATATTCTTCAGAATTGGTTCTCGCTTTACTGGTAAATAGAAGGACAATCGCTGACATGCTTTTTCTGGGGATATTTATGTTTTCATTGACAATGGTAAGATCCTTGTCCCAATTACTTGTGCGCATTAGTGTGACGTGTTTGTAGGACAGTGAGCGGCCTGTTGAATACATCCTTGATACTTCACTTGCAAGGGCGTCATTCTCAATGGTCTCGTACTCTAACTCAAGATTGTCCAGTTTATAATTACCCTTAGCTTCACCTCCTTGAGCCGTCATAATCTCATCTGAGGCCGGGTAGTGTGAGGATGTACATAGGATTGTTGTTCATGTAGAATGGAGTGTAGAGTCCATGGTCTGCAATAATCTTATCAATTGGTTTTCTAAGTTTAGAGCCGTACACACTATGGAGAAGTCCATCTGCTACTTTATTAGCATCACCAACCTTTACACCTGAGTCATCACCTGATATTAGCTTTCTCAGGTTTTCACTTCCGAGGCCCTGTTCTGTCATCTTATTTCTGTCACCCTGTGTTAGCCATAGATCTTTATAAATTTCATACAAACTCTCTCCTGAACAGTCATAGGCTGTTTCACCTGCTACTTTAATCTGAAGACGTTTAGCTATCAACTTAGACAGGTTATTATTAAAGTGGCTTTTTGTATTGGAATTTTTGAAGTCAAATAATAGTGCAAGTGAACCTGGAACTAAACAAGAGTCAGGTTTTAGCTTAGGGATGTTAATGTACAGCTCTTCACCTGGGCTGATAGTTGTTGGATTAAATGTTACAACACTTCTAGTTCTTGGTCCTTTTACAGATGTCATGCGGCTCCTCCTGAAGCCAGGCTGGAGTTCTCTTTCTGTGGTATTCATACTTTATACAATATGTAATGTTTAGTTATATTCATACAGTAGAACTGCTGCTGCACATACAATGATTATCCATATATTATCCGCTGCTAACTCTACTCCATCGGCTATCTTCTGAAATACAGGTGGTAGTTCTATTTGATTGTTTACCAACTCACTGATTCGCTTATCAAGTTTTCCTGTTGTGTCACCTACTTTCCACAATATGTTTCTAGTTGATGCTACCAGTCCTATGATTACAGCTGATGAGGAAATTAGAACAGCTGATAAGATGCCTGCATTCTCCCTTGCCCATAACCTGAGCCTTTGTAGTCTCCTACAATCATCCCGTTTAATGAGATCCCTCTTTTTCACCTTATCTCTTAAGTTGAGAAGTTTATTTAAGTTAGACTCTCTTTGGTAATCATTTGATAGCATTCTGACGTACCTCAGTTCTTCCGACTTTTCTTTGAAACTGTCTTCATCCAAATCGGATAGTATTAATTCATTTAAAAGTCTGTCTCCCCTATCCATTAAATCATCGTATGACAGATTAGATAGGTCAGAGAATTTCTCAGCTAATTGCTCTCTCGTAAGGTCTTCACTTAACATTTTTCTCCTCCTCAGCTCCCGTACGTAATTAATTTCCTCGTTAATATCCTGGGTCTCCTCAGTAGTCTCGCTTTCCCTAAGATTCTCATCAAGGTGCGGTAATTCGCTATCTAAAGTTTCTATATCCATTTCTTCATAGTTCGGATACTTTTCCTTCAACTCCTCCATTTTCTGGTCATCGTATTCCTCCTGGTGTTCCTCCATAGCTAATTTACTTTGTGTAATAGTTGTATACCATTAAGGCTGCAGCTACAACTAGTACCCATAAGTGTGACGCTAACCAGGCAATTCCTTTGGCTCCCCATGACAGCGCAGTTGCAATTGCATTCAGGATTGGAACTAGAATTGGCCCTGCTTTCTTTGCTAAATTTGCTAGTGCTTTTGCTACTTTACCAGTGGCTTTTGCTGTCTTCACAATGGCTCCCCTAGCATGGATTAATAAGGCTGTAATTAAACTAGCTGTTGACACTGCTATCCCTACAAGTCCCACCTTTTCCTTTCCTACCCAGTCTATAAATTTACGTAATCTAGAAATATCTTCCAACTGTGCCTCTCTTGCTTCCTCTACAGTTCTCTGTTCTAGTGTCCTATCCCTGGCTTCCTTCAAACTGTCAATTCTTTCTAGGAGGGAATTATACTCAGTTGTACCTTCCGCAGATGTGGCGCGTTCCACGGTTTCACCAATAGCTTCATTAAAGTAGTCAGCCTGGATTTGTAACGCTCCATTGGGACCTGTTCTGCCTTCTATGCTTGATCCATCAGGTGGGTTAAGAACACCTCTCAGTTCATTGTTTTCTTGCATTGTTAGCCCTGGAAGATCTCCTAGTTTTGCACTTATGTCTATTAACTCAATGTTCTCACGGTCAGCGTATTCCTCACTACTTTCATCAAATTGCGGCTCTTCTTTAGTATCCTCATAAATTGATTCATCACTTCTAATTATATCGTCAGGATTCGTAGGTACCTCTTTTATTTTCTTTAGAAGGTCCTTGTATTCTCTTAATGCAGTGGAGGTCTTTGAGTACACGAGTTTACTGGTCTTACCACGTTTCATTATTTGTGTTCCACTTTTGTCAATACCTTGTTCACTTCTAAATACCAACACCTCTGTGCCATCATTGAGTGTTCTTACAGATGATCGTTTTATGAGTTCCCTAACGTATTTATTCCTAGGGTCTAGTATTAGTCCCTCCTTACCTTTAATAACTCTTGCGACAGCTTGAACACGCTCTACTTGGTTTTCGAAATCTCTCTTTTTATTTGCTGTAAGTCGGTCTTCTGAGAACTTTTTCAGTTTCTCTAGGCGGGCTTCTATTTCATCCCAGTCAGCGTCAAATGATTCGTTGAATGCATCTAGCACATCAGGAAGTACATTGTTTGGGTCTTCCACGAAGTTGACTTCTGGGACAGTTGTGCTTCCTGATGGACCTGAAATGTTCACTGTACCATCATTTCCTTCAGTGAAAGTTGTTTCTTCTATTTCACGTCTCTCCATGAGATTCTTTACATAGTCCAGTTCACTTTTAAGATCAGTTAATACTATAGGGTCATCACCATACATAGCCTCTCCCTTCACCCTTGTATCTAACCTACTAAAAGCTGTCGTTAGGTCATCATAATTAAGATCGTCATATTGAGGATAAGTTTTTTCTGCCTCCTCCAACTCAATGTCATCATAGTCCTCTACACCCTCCATAATACTTTAACTTATGTTAGGGACTTGATGTCTCCAGCTGGTATCCAACTGTTAAATTTGTCATCATAACCTAACCACTTAACTAGGCCATCTTTTTACCCTTCACTGTTCTTCTTCTTAGTACTTTCTCTATTTTGAAATCAGGTTCTCTTCCTTCAGCGCTATACAGTTCTTGTTCATAGAATCTACCAATTATTGGTTCATCAGCACTGTCTTTTATTGTGTACGTGTTTGGATGACCGTGATACACTTCCGTCACAGTGAACAACTCCTCTGTGAAATTTGCTTCATACCCTTTTGTGAACACTGATTTGTACTTTGAAATTCTAACACTTTCTCCGACAGCAAACTTTGGTTCCGACGGCTTGCCTAAATTGTGACTAAAAAGTGTCTTCCATACTTCAGTCCAGTTGGAATCATTTACACTGTCCGGTGTTGTTTTAATTGATCTGTTCACTGAACTGTTGTAATTATCAGTTAAGTCTTGAAGGACGTCTAACCATTTATATGTACTGGCACTGTAAAAGTACTTCCACATTAGCGCTTTCAGTGTTCTGTTAAATCTTTCCACAACTGCGGCCTTTTTGTCTGAGTAAGTAGAGAAAAATTCAATGTTATGTTTATTGAGCAATGACTTTACTTCTTTGTTGTAGAACTCTGTGCCTTGATCAAACTGGGCGAATTTTGGGTATTTACCAAAACGATTATTAAATTGCTCTAAAATGTTACTGACTGCGTCCTTCATTGATGTCGCGTTTTTCCTATACACTGGTACTGTGAATGCGTACCTACTTAGTATTTCGATTGATGTGAGAATCCATCGGTATCCCTTGTTCTTATCGTCATATTTTGTCATGTCAACTAAATCCATTTGTAACTGTTCACCTAAAGTTTGAACGTACGTCTGTCTGAACTTATGTTTCCTAAACACTTGTCTGTACCTAGTGTATGTGTCTTGCTCATTTATCCATTTCTTAACCTGGTTTCTGGTTACTTTAAGTCCGTCTGATATTGCTCTAAGATATAGTTTCTCTGGTGTCTGGAATCCAGTCTTAGGATTGTAGTAAATATCTCGTAGTCCTTGTTCTTTCATAATATCATCGTCCATCTTATATTAACCAATGTAAGCTAACTACCGACTACGTTAGTAGACGCCAATAACTACACAAGTAGTTATTGCTCAAGGTACATCTCAAGTAGCACTTCACCTATATCAATAGGTTTCCCGTCTTGATCAGTCGTGTAGAATACAAGTTCTGAGAAAGAACCCTTAATAACTGAAATCCTGCTTTCAACATCAATGTAACTAACAACTGAGCCTAATAATGGTCTGTCAGTTGGAACTGTAACACTTGTTATTACATCGCTGGGTCTTCCCCAAGGGTTAACGTTGTAACTGCTACTAACTAGATTGCAGTGTATATTTACACATCGTAGACCATTATTAAAGTCAACTTTGCTATCACTTGTCAAACTCCTCCCTTTTAGTAGGATCATAGGATTATTAAATCTACTAAAGCCAAGCATTGTTAAAAACCTGGTTTCTATTGTAATGTCCTGCTTTACAGCTTCTATCTGACATCCTGCTGTTTCTGGAAAATATGTTAGTTTAACACCGTGTCTCTCAAGTAATTTTCTCATACTATCAAATGTATAGTAGCCCTTGCTGACAATCACGTCAGTTTCACCACCAGCTGTTTTAACCTTGAGAATAGTTGTTGGTTCTCTTATATTGAAATACTCCCAGAATACTGATACTCTCTTCATAAAGACGGAATTATAATTACTTGTTAAAACTGAATTCTGTAGTGATATAATAGTGTGCGAGCTCTGGAGTAAAATTGTGAACTTCATCTTAATAACATACGTTAGGTTATTAAGAATGAGACTAGGTGGAGGAGACGTTGGGAAGTCACCGTATAGGTCTTACCAAGACTACGAAAAAAAGTATGGAAAGGAAGATGGTGAAGGTTATGTTGATCCAGTTGCTGGTAAAAAAGCTGAGAATGCTGAAAG